CTCGCTGCTAGAAAGAAAGGCAAACAAAAACAAAACGAAACACAAAACGCACATGACAAAGAGCAGACCCGGCGATACAAGGCGTGCCACGCGGGGTCGACCGACCACTCATTCTCCACACGTCATTTCCACCGGTATCGACCCCCACCTATTTGCCCTTGATCACCTGCACGTCTCCCCCCAACCGTATTGTCCTCCATCGCCTCCCTGCTCGCCGCCCCCCAGCTCACCGGCCCCTGCCAACCCATGCCTAACCATCGGCTTGCCGTTCATCACGCGTCGTCGAAGATGGAGCAGCGGCCTCAATAGGAGAAGACAACCAGTCCGCCTTTGGCGATGCATGCCCCGAGTGAGGCGATGTCGGCGACGACGCGGGGACGGCGGTGGCGGCTGANAGCGGCGACGGCGCGGCCGCGGTGACAGTGGCGGGTAACGCGGTCCCGGAGGTTGGCGGCAGCGGCGACGGTGCGTCGGTGGCGGCGGCTGCATTCCATGGTGCGCCACCAGCGGTGTGCGACGGCGACGATGACGTAGCGTCGGCAGTGGCGGGTCCCCACGGTACAGCGGCAGCAGCGGGCGGCGAAGCGGTGATGGTCCCCGCCGTGGCGGCGGCGACGGCAGGTCAAGTGGCAGCGTTGGCAGAGGGCGGCGAAGCGGCAGTGGTCCCGGGTTCCAACTCCCTGGGGAGGGTGTTCCCTTGTTGCTTGGCAGTCGAACTCAAAATGGGTTCGGGAAAGTGGCCAGCGCGGTGGTGGAAAACGTCAACATCCATTTGTTCGGCACGACCCAACACAGCCACATCATGCTCAAACGCAACTCCTTCCCTCGCATCAAACATCCCCGCACTCGTCCCCTTATCTTCCTGCAACTGCTCACCACCTTTGGGTGTTGACATCCTAGTGTGGGATACCGGAGCTTGAGGGGTTAGCAGCAGGATTCACTACAGGAACAACAGGAGCATCAAGCACAGACATACCAGCAACGGGAACACCAGACACCTCCCCATCACTAACAACTCCGATCTCATTTCCAGTCACAGAATCAGACTCGCCTAGAGGTTTCACACTACTTGTGTGGAAGAGACGAAGAGGGGCGCCACTAGCTGGAGGAATGTCGCCCGGAGGTGGAGAGGGGGTCGCCGTCGAGGAGGCAGAAGTCTTTGGGGATGCGCTGATGTACTGCTGCTGCTGCTGCTGTTGCGGCGTCGCCGGCAGATTAGGGGTGCGAAAGGCGTCGTTGAAGACTCGCGGCTGGTAAGCGTCGGGGCCGGTAGCAGAGGGATAAAAAGGGCGGCCCCGACACCAGCTTGCCCCTTGGTCCAGTTGGTGCAGCTGCTCTCGATATGATCCGTCCGACAAGCGCCCCGAGCCTTGCCTGCCGGCCTGAGAAAATCCTCGTCCCCGCATACTGTCCCTCTCGCTAGTGGACGCCATGAAGTCGTTGTAGTACAACAAGAAGTCCTGGCGATGTTTGAATAGCTGCAGATGAACACCTTCCTTTGCAGGGGGGCTGTCTGCACGTTTGTTTGTTGGCGTAATGATATTCGCGGAGTGTTCTTGCATGAACACTGGAAATGTATGGGCTGTCTACATGTATGTATGTTTGTTGAATTTTCTATCCATTTCTTGGACAGCAATGGCGGCGGCACCGATTTGTGTGTACGCACTATTTAGTTTGGTCCTCACAGCCTATACTGGAGAAAGGAGTTGGCAGGAGTGATTGGTGGGGCCTCTGTGCTTTCCGAATACTCGTTTCTGTCGCCCAAGAAGTTGTAATATTATTTCGTTTGAGTTGTTGTGCCGGAATGTTCATTTTGTTTGGTATTAGTTTTGGCTTGCTTCTTCGGAGTTCTTTCGGATTTGGTTTTGCGATGAAATTACACGTGGAAGAATATTTTGATGATATGAAGGGTGCGTTGAAACTGTTCAGAGAAGATCATGGTGATGGAACAGGGTTGGTTATTGGTTTGAATCCTTGCGGTTATGTCGTGAAGGCCGCTACTACTATGTTTGGGCTTGTTGTTTTGTTTTGTTTTCCTTTCTTCGTGTGGCATTTTTCTTTGCAGAAGGCCCTATCTACGTTGTCCCCTGTCTGTGTGTTTGGCGCGCCTTTTCATGTACCATCGGCCAGGGGTAACCCCTCTATTTCTATAAAAGGCTATGTCTTCGATGCTGTTGTCAATCGTCATTGGGGAGGGAATTGGTGTGTAATGACAATGAATGGCCGCAACATCACGAAGAATGGAATGTTTCGCTTGCTTTCGACGGTCGATTTGCAAAGTTCGGGATTTGATTTCGTACACAATGCAGGTTGTGGTTTTTAGTGTTGCTCTCAGCACCCAAATATCACAGGATGGATGGATGCGTTTGTCACGATGAGGGTTGATCCCTTGACGTCTGGTGTTCGGAGAAGGGGGGCCGTAACCAGACATACATGTGGGTAGGGTATGCAGGAAGAAATGAATTGTTTCGCTGGAAACTGAACGGAGGTTTGTTTGTGTTCGTGGAATAGTAGGATGAGGTATGTATGGAGTCGAGCATTTTGTGCAATCAATCATGGATTCATATTCTAGTTTTCTGCTACTTGTGGATGTGAAATATCCTCGGAAAGTGATTTGTCCCGGACGGGGTTGTATGTGTATGCGTTTGTGTCTGTTTTCATTTGTTTCTGACATGACCCATTGCGGTTGTTTCCACGATTTGATCGAGTGTTGGATTATTTGATACTTGGAAAATTCATGAGCGACCGACAGTAATTCTTGGTGGTGTTCCTGGCTTAATTTTGCAACCGATGGGGATTCCAATCAGTGTTTCTGATTTAATGGTTTTAGTGAATGTTTTGATCTTTGGAGATTCTGGATACAATGGAGACCGATGGAAATTCTGGGAGGAACAACTGGTCTTTCTGGTTTATTTAATGGTTTATTTTGTTGCAAGAGCATGGGAGGAGATGCGACTACTGTTGCACATTGATATTGATTTCTGGAGTATTCGGGATGGGTTTTGCGTGATGATACGTGATAATGTAAGTAATTCCGGGAGTAATCTTGACAATGCAGCGAGCAGGGGGGCTGTTGGATGTACTCACAGCATTGACAGATTATTAGTGCAACCGAGGAACGTTCTGAGAAGATGGAGCGGGGAATATTGGGGGTTCCGCAGTTGTGATGAATTGGGGGAATGGTGTGGTACGATGTTTGCCACATATTGTTGTTTTCTGCGTATACGTGTCTGCATGCAACGGTGCTGGCCACGTGCTCTATTACGGTGGAACACAGTAGTTAAGACCAATNATCATAGTCGAGATCCCGAGTTCTAGTGTTGTATGCATGTTTATGTGTTTTCTGTTTATGTGTTGGTGTTTGTGTTTCATCATCGCCCGTCTGTGCGAGATATGGGGTGGCTATTACGGCGGAACATAGTAGTCAAGACCAAATTGGAATATTGTGTAACTTCGTCAATTCGGAGTCCCCTATCACAAACTATAGCGCAAATTGACGACAAAGCACAGAGCTCTCTTTCTAAAAAAAATAAATAAAAAAATTTCACCATGTCTTCGAGTAATATTACGAAGTTAGTGTGTGATCGTACCCGGCGAAATCCCAAAAATATTGAAGCGCGGTGTTCCAACGATGCGGCCCCAGGGCTTGCACAAGTGATCCATATATTGATTGAACAGGATGATACAGCCATCTCAATTGCGAAATATCAAACAATATGTCAGCTTGCACTCAGAATGGCGCCTTCTGTGCAGCCCCTTCGTGTCGCTGTTCGGGAATCAAAGTCGAAAAATATTGGCCCAAAAAAGGGCATCTTTTTTTGGCATTTTATTTTTGGCATTTTTTTCAGCCCTCAATGGCATCTTCCGCGTCCTCACCCAGCCACTCATCCGTCTGCTCCTCCACCCCATCCTCTATCTCATCCTCGGCCGTAGCCTCTTGGTACTCTGCCACTGGATACTCAAGGCTACCGATCGTACCGCTCAGGTTTCCACCATACAGGCCGATCCACTCGTCCATCTTGCCAATGGCATGCTGCACCAACTTGCCACAGTTGGCTGCCTTCCACCCCCTCTCCTGACCGTCCCATTCCGGGTCTCCATACCAACCGAGACGGATTTGCTTCCACACATCCAACATGTTCCGCCCCTTCTCAAAATGAATGCTCACGTAATGCTTGCCGTGCTGCCAGAACAGCTCGATCGGCTGGAAAGTCGGCATGTACGGCGGTGTCCAAATTAACCCCCACCCCTTCTCCCTCATGTACGTCTCAGCCTTTTCCTCGAGTTTTTGTGGAAAAATTCTTTTTGAAGTACGTACGAGTGACGGAGGCTATCTCTTCTTTGCTGACGCGGTTCTTGCGGTCCGCATTGGGTAGCGACCCCTGCGCCGGGACCTCAAAGTTGTACTCACCAGCCTTACCCTCCGACTCACGCGTCACCTTGAACGACGTGCAACCGTACTTGCGCAAGAGTTCGACGTTGTACTTCTTACTGTTGGTTTCGGGCACCTTAACCTCCTCGTCAAAGCAGTGGTGGTATGAGGCGTTATCGAGAACGAGAAACATCTTCTTGTTCTTGAACTGCGCATCGAAGGCCGGGGTAAGTCGGTGCTTCAACCACTGCATGAACATCCCATCCGTCATGGCGTTATGATAATCTCCGGTTGCCAACTTGACCTGCCACAGAAATTCTGCTGTCTGCTCATCTGACATTTCCAAATCCGCCTCCCCAGGCTTAATCTTCTTCGCACGATTTTCCTTAGCCTTGAACCAACCCTCACGGATAGGAAATCCCTCCTGTAGCTCGGCCAAGGGCCCGTGCTTCGTGATCGCATGCACCATGATCATACGCAAACCTTTCCCCGTTGTACGGCCTACCCATCCTGCACAATCCCCTTATCGTCAGAAGGAAAGTAAGAGTACGCGGAACCATATACCTGGTGAACAAAGCTCTCATCTATGTACACAATGACTGCGACCCCAGCGTCCTCGGGCCTCTTCGCGAGGAGCATCTTAACAAGGAAGAGGCGGATGCGGTTTTTCCTCTCCTCGTTCAACGGGGGTATTTTGATCCTACCCCTACAGCGCTCGAAGCCAAGGCGCTGCAGCAACCCTCCCACGGCACGATTCGACATCTCTAATCCGCACGAACACTCCAAGTAATCCTTGCCGGTACGGCGGAAGACTTGACGTCCCGCCTCGTGCTCGCCCTTGATGAACTCGCGCAGTCCATCCTCTTGCTCCTTGGTGATGACACGTCGCCCGTCATCGAAGCTGGTGGCCTTGCCTCGCCCCTTCCCGTTGGTCTCGTACAACTCCTGCTTGTCATACCAGAGTGTGCGAACCGCCAGGACCTTGTCCGTACCGATCCTCAAGGTCTTCGCGACCTGATAAAGATGGGTCATCCACACATAGGGAGGGTGGGGAAAGGTTTGTAAGAATACAGCAGTGTATTGCGTTGCAGTGTATTGCGTTGGTGTACGAAAGCCGGTATTAAAGGGACGGCAGAGTGTAGACAACGTACAGCGCACGCGAGGAGAATGGTGGTGCCATGCACATACATTATTCCTTTACATTCAGCTATACAAAGCGCTGCTGTAACTGCTGTACTGATATGCTGCTGTACAGCTGGCAGCATACCGTTATACATACCACTCAAGTATTGTACAGCAGTAATGGGCATCAGTACAGCAGTGCAAGCAATGCGACGATATGGGCCGGCAGCGGTACTGACATGATGTCAAGCACTGTTGTTGCTTGTACACAAATCTTGGGTGGGATGTACGTATATGCATGTGAACACATTTTTAAAAAGTACATGGCACTGCTGTACTGCTGTAAAACGTAACAACGACATGCGTCTTTATACTGGTATTTGTACGCAACAGCCATGTTTCTTGGCTCTCACCTGCTCCTTTGCGTGGTTCTCAGAGCTGCCTCCTTTCACCAGGTCGAAGTACAGCATGAGAATAATCCGCGACTGCTGCAGGGTGGTGAGCTCGCCAGTCTTGGGCCTCAGTGATTGCACAGAGTCCTCGACAAACTTCAGCGCGAGAGGGGGAAGCTTGGAAATCGCCGCTTCAGCAGCCTTGCTGACACGATCCTGCTCTCGCCGTTCGCGCTGCTGTTGAAGCACGTCTGATCTCGCGATGTCCCGCGCGAGCTTCCCCCGATCCCTGGCCACTGACGCCTTCATGGCCTTCACCTCTTCTTCCTTGGCCGCGATCGCTGCTTCGGCAGCGGCGGTGGCCGCCACTCTCTTCTCGATATCATCCAGGAGCTTGTTCATAGCCTTTCAATTTCTCGCGGCCGCAGCGTTGGCCCCCTTGATCGCTTTAGGTGGGCGGCCACTGGTGCCGCCTGTCAGTACCCGTCTTCCACGCTTGGTTATGGTGGGTGCTGGATTGGCCAGGTGCCTGGCGTGGACGGCGAGTTGCTCTACAATGGCCGGCTCAAATTCAAATTTGTTTTTGGCGTTGTACGCGCCATGTTGAGCAGTTTGCGTCAGGTTCTATTTTAGAACCTAATTTGTTTCCCGAACCGCAACAGGTATGCCCGCTTGAAAATTGCTGCCATGAAGTGCCTGCTTTTGGCGCCGTTCACTTCGTGCTGTGACTGTTCGATGGCCATGAAACCAGCGCCATTCGACAGCTGATGTAACAGGCTTTCTGTTGAACCCACCCAGTGTGTGTGTTGCTCAATCATTGCGTGCAAACGTTGCAAAAGAGTGTGTGTTTTTCTATCAACCTCGCGGGAGAGAGCCTTTTGACAGTTTTTTTTTTTTTTGAGAGAGAACGCGAAGTGCCCAATTTGTAGAATTTGGTAATTTGGTTTTGATTATTGTGTTCCACACTTCTCCCTTCTTCCCCTCGCTCCTCGACAAGCTTTTGCTTAGACATGGGTTGTAGTGAAGGGGGGGGTCTTTCTGGCGAGCAGGGCTAGACTCACCCTCAAGGGATGACCGAAACCTTCTTGCTGCTGCGCATATCCGCCGCGAGGCATGCGCGTGGTGGTGTAGTTGGGTCGGCACTGATGGGGTCAG